GAGAGAGAGAGAGAGAGAGAGAGAGAGAGAGAGAGAGAGAGAAAGAGAGATCGGCAAAAGAAAAAGGAACGCGGAGGAAGAGAGAGAAACTGCGTCCACGCTGTCCAGTCTCCCCAGAATCAGTCAACTGCAGACCATCGATGACAGGGAATAGTTAATATTATATATTAAATATAATATTTCGAGGGACTTTTATTTATCATTATTATTATTAGGGATTAGTTATAGATTCTAAATAACTGCATGAAGGAAACTGCAAGAAGAAACTGCGAGGAGAAGGAGAAGAAGGCAGATACACACACATGCACGCGCACTGCGTGCGAGATAGAGAGAGAGAGGCAGATAGAGAGAGTGAGAGAGAAAGAGACAAAGAGGAAGATAGAGAGAGTGAGAGAGAGAGAGAAAAAGAAAGAGAAAGATAGAGAGTGTGTGTGAGAGAGGAGAGAGAGACAGATAGATAGATAGAAAGAGAGAGAGAGGCGAAAGAAGGAGAGATAGAAAAGCAAAAAGAGAGACAGACAGACGCATGCATGCGCGCATCCCCCCCCCACCCACACACACACAACACACACACGAAGGCAGGTACGCACGCATTCACGCACACACGCACGCCCGAATAAAAATGCCACTATCACAGCTACCTGTATTGAGTTGAATTTATTCGGTTATCGATTTACATGCGCATGCTCACTCACCTGCGCAATCTCCTGCCAAGCAGCTCCTGGTGGCGGAGTCATCCCCTCGACAGGGGGCGCCACCGTACTCTGGTCTCGGATGATCACAGTAGCGGAAGCGAGACTCCAACCCTCCTCCACAGGTGGCGCTGCATGGTCCCCATGGCAACCATGAGCCCCAATCACCGTCAACTACAATATAAATGTATAAAGTAGGTCTCAGGAGAGAGAGATAGTGATCCGCTAGATGGCGCATTATTAGTGTGTTGAGGATATAGAAATCAGTTAACCCTAACCCTAACCCTAACCCTAATCTTAACCCTAACCCTAATCCTAACCCTAATTCTAAAATAAAACAAAATTAGCCAAAAAATAATAAAAATAAATAAGAGACAAAATTTGCCAATCAGAGCCGTCCCCTAGCGGATCACTATATCTCTCCCTTGTGCAAAATTTATATAAATGTCGTTTAACCAGAAGCTCGCAACAATCTTCCAAGTGTACAAATTCCATGAATGATATAGGTTGTTGGGACATTGCAGACTTTGGCATGGGTTGTGACATTACTTATTTTGGCATGGGTTGTTGTGACATTGCGTACTTTGGCATGGGTTGTTGTGACATTACTTATTTTGGCATGGGTTGTTGTGACATTACTTATTTTGGCATGGGTTGTTGTGACATTACTTATTTTGGCATGGGTTGTGACATTGCGTACTTTGGCAT